CATCCATCCATCCATCCATCCATCCATCCATCCATCCATCCATCCATTATGGGTTGCTGGTGGACATGTCCAGCCATCACTGTGCGAAAAGTGGGGTACACCCTGGACAGGTCGCAAGTCCATTTCAACCGGCGAGTCATCGGATGCGCACGGCCGGTGACAGGTGTCCATCTGCGCTTAACATGACTTTTATAAACCTCTTTCAACTGGCCGGTCAGACCTGCCTCCTCCTCAACAAGTAGATTAAGACAATTTTATATTGTGCATTATTTAGTTTTCTTATTTTTCTTATTTTATTTAGTTTTCTTTGTCATGTACGATTCGCAAAACTGCAAAAGCCTGAGCCCACGTGCACAATTATTGTGCAATGCGCCAGCGATCTCTTCCACAGTTTGATTAACTGCTGCATGCTTCTTTCTTTCTTCATCTTCTCATTTTATTTGTGCTGTATGACTCGTAAAACCGCATCAAAGTCCAAGACCGGCCCGGCCTGCACATTAATCACATTATAACGGCCCGGACTGGTCTTAATCCGGTCGGTCCGGGACGAGTTTCGGGTTAGAAACGATAACCATGAACCAGACAGCAGGACCCGCCCTGCTCTGCTCTGATTGGGTCAAACTTTGACTCTAGTTTTCTTCACTGGTTGAAAGCAGCGTCACTATCAGTATTAGGTTGGGTGGTTTTAACAAGACCACAACAAAACGTTTTTCCCTCCTCATTTTTACAGATGATGAAAATCTGTCCTGACCATGATCTAAATGACAGAAATCCATTGCTGCGACTGAGAACTTAAATCCACGAGTACTGTAGTACTGTATTGTGATTAGGGTTTGAATCATATCACTTTTTGTTCTATATTTAATGTGCTGAATCAAATACAAACCAGAGATACACAACTTTATTTGACACATTTTGACAAAAATAAAAGAATGAATTGATAATCTCTGCTTTATTTAAATGTAAAAGAAAACTCATTTATTACACTTGATTGATTTGACTAGTTTGCTCTATAGAGTTATTATGCTAATATAGGTATAGGGCATTACTGTTATAATCATAATGCATTGATTTGTTTTGATTCTCATTCATGAGGTGGTTTATACATCTGATTATGATTACTGTTGCTGCGTTGATTTATTGTATTTTTGTTGTGAGTATTTAAGAGGGGAGGATCTGTAAAACCAGTAAAGAGAATGCTATAAAACAAAAAAATTAAGAAATATTTTAAGCATCACCATATTCTGTAAACATATAAATACTAAGCGGTGGCTTCTTAGGCGTATACTCTTCATGGGAGAGGAAAGGGCCACTTGAAGGCAAAAAGAGCACCCAACAATCAGATGTTTTTTTTACTTTTATGAAAAAAAAAAACCCCTCTTTCAAGTGACTGGTAATCCATTGGGTTTTACTATACAATCAAATTATATGCATATGGAATGTAAGCGACAAAATAGATGGCCAGATAATAAGACAGATAGATAGCCAGATAGATGGGGGTTGAGCAGGAGGGGGGCAGTGAGGCAGAGAGTGCAATAGTGTTAAATAAAAAGGGACACAGGCTTGGGCTCGATGGTAATGAAGAGGGGTGGGCCAACAGTTGAGGTCCCTGTAGATGAGATCTCTCACTGACATGTGTGTCCCCTTCATTACCCATTAAGGGGGGCACAGTGATGAATCCTTAATATGACATTACACCAATTTTCCTCTTCATTTAGCCTGCTAATGTGCTGGTCTGCTCCTATATGCCCAGGGGCTGCCTGTACCAGACTCAACCAGAAATAGAGCGCAGTGGCCACCGGCGGCACATCTTGAAGCAACCTAATTAGGGGCAGCAACCACCTAATGGGGCTTTCTAGACAAGAGTTTACTCAGGTTGTTTTGGTAGCAGGTAGAAATTGAAGCCTGAACAGTGTGTGTCTGACAATTCTGCAAATTCTGAAGACGGCAGAAAATTGTTGCTCCTAAAATAACTATGTAGTAGCTGTTACTTGATGGAGCTTCAAGCAGCTCTGCTTGTGCAGTAGATGAGCGGTTGTGTGGCTTTAGATGTGCATGTAACTCACTCAGCATGCCCATCCCCAGCATGAAGGCATCCATGGTGTAGGGCAGACCCCTGGCTCGCCCTCGTGTGCCTGGTGGGAACATCACCTCCTTGGGCTGGGCCTTCTTACATTCTACCTATGTAAACAAACACACACATACACACACAACACACCCACCCACACATACGCACACAAAGAAAGACAAACCATTAGACTGTGTAGGTACACAACCAGGCAGATCTGACAGGGCTGTCTCAGCTCTTAACAGGCTTTTCTGTTTGTCTTGCACACAGCTAGATGTTCTCCACAGAGGAAAACAGAGTCGAGTCAATCCTCAGCTCCTTATATTTTAGAAGCTAAGACTCCATGGAAAACTTACAGTCATGCTCCTCTTCTAATAAAGCAAATATTGTTGCACCAGTGAGCATGTGCCCAGAGCCTCAGGGAAACGCAAGCTAAATATTTTAAGAGTTTTTCAAGACGTCAAGATGTGAACAGCTCGGTCCTCTAAGTAAAAAGTTTTTCTAATAGATAAAAAAGGACAATCACTAAAGTAGTAATGATGATTTCAAAACTAAATGATTCAAGTCTTGGTGTGAATTCTTGAAAAAAGCGTCTTCCAATTCAGGATAAGACGTTCTGTTTTGTGTTTGTCTGTTGTTACAGGGCTGAGTGAGATCCCCAGCGCCCCACAGTCTAATTCCACCTGAACCTCTCATCCTTCCCCTGCATTTATTTCTCTCACTCCGGTTCTCACATATACAGGTTTGTTCATTTCCCATCTTGTACGACTGACATCCCCTCCTCCTACATAACACATCAAATGAGGGATGTGACAGGGGCAGATGAGAGGAAAGAGGAAGATGAGAGCCCTATTTATCTATCCGATCTCTAGGAATCATAGTGAAACCCGAGCGGCTGACAAAACGGGGGTGGCACAGTCTTGTGTCTCTTGGTTTTTTTTTTTTTGGTAGGCTCAGTCCGTTCACCATGCTGCACAATCTATTTGCTCCACTGCCTGCTTGGCATCAGCCTGTCCATCTGTTTGTCTGTTTGCCTCCTGGCTCTTGCCTTCTTCTCCCCACTGCCTCCACTTAAGCGGGGCTTTCTCGGCTGCTGCGATTCACATGTCATCCCGGCCTGCTGCACAAAACAGACTGCTGCGCCGGTGCAGCGTGCACCTCAACTAAGGTATAGCTTGGCACCCATATAAATAGGCCTGACAACTCTGACAGGCCAGTGGTGAACATTACTATTCACACACATCCATGCAGAGATGTAGACACAACATACTACTGCAAGTGGCCAAACAGTAGAAACATACTTCATGTCCTGAGAGGTTTATGTGGCTAATCAATAGTGTGACAAGCTCAGTATACGATTTCCAGCAGGGAACAAGACATGTAAAAAGCGTAACACAAATGAAAAAAGAAGGTTTCTATTACAGAGGGAAAGTTGCTGTGCAGCAAAGCTGTGATTTGTTGCTGTTAGCAGCCCTTTTATTTGAAGCAGACCAAGTAAAGTACACAGTTCCCTCAGCCACTTTGTAGCTGTCACAGCTGCTCTGGCCTCCTTGCTCGCCTGGTGTGGTTTGACATTGTGCTGAAGAGAGCGCAGGCACTCTCAGCATCTGAGGACGACCCCCGGCATGGAAGTAGGAGCCGGCTGGGACAAATGGGTGTGTTAGAAATCTCAGCACACTGCTGGGATTTTCATATGTTCACATGGCTGGGCGACAAATACAGCAAAGCCCCCCTCCTACCCCAAACATACGCTCTGCAGACATGCTACTGTCTGATCAGCGTCCTCCACTAGCCCTGCCACTTCTGAGCTAGTTGGACGATCAGGTAGCCTGCTGGGAGTAAGACAGAGCCGTGTGTGAGTCATGCCTACATGCTCTCAGATACGAGTCTTTGATATTCAGAGCGAGGGATCCTTGTCATGGATTTAAAACCAGTCAGAAGCCAGGGTCTGTGGTGGTGTGAGTGTGTGGGTGTTCACCTGCTTCAGATACGCAGACATGTGTGAGCGAGAGAGGCAGCGGCTTTCAAGAGCGAGCTCGTCGAAGAAAAAGACGAGGAGAGGACACTGAAACAATTCAGCGCCTGTCAATGAAAAACTACAAAAGGTTCAGCAACTGTGAGGGCAGAGATTCAAATTTTTCCAAGTGGAAAGTTCTACAGACTGAACATTTTGCCTGATGAACAGCTTTAGAGCACTGACTGAACAGGGTCTGTCTGAAAGTATTTCACAGAAGACGACTTGCTTAACTCAACTCTTTGAATTTATAAACGCAGTGCAGTTTTGTGTTGTGAAAACCACGATTTCTTAATCCACAACTTAATTGTCAATGAGACGATCAGGCACTATTGTACCCTGTTGAAAAAAAGGGGTGAACTGATATTCTGCCTGTAAATGCAGGAATAGCACCCAAGAGATTCAAGAGCCTCGAATATACTTTGATTAAATGTTTAATCAAAAGTTTTGATTATCCTAGCATATGAAGAGATTCAATCTGTACTTAACTAGCATCAACAGCCAAGCCGTTATGTTTTAAAAATTGCACTACGTTATTTTATAACGTGATATTACGCAGTTTCCATAATTTATTGACTGTAAATATATCCCTGAATGCAAAAGGTTTATTAGAACAACTGTTTTGATCAGACTTTAGTTATTATAATGCAACTGCAGCAGGTTTTAGATCATGTCCTAGCAACTTGGAGCCTGTTTTAACAAGGGTATAAAATAATCTGAACTGGCAGCAGGCAGTGGCCTGAAACCAGAGTGTGTTATAAGAGGACAGATGTTGGCATATAGATGTCAGCAGTTGTTCTGCTTCTCTGCTGAGAAAGTCTAGCGTGATGAAATAAAAAAGTCTGAATTCAAATCTAAAAAGTAAACAAGTACTATTTGATGCATAATGTATATTAAAATTAATCTTTAATTACCATATTTTTTGCTGTATATGTTGCACATTTTTGCATAAATTTGCAAGTCCTGCGACTTATACACCAAAGTGACTAATATATGTTTTTTTTTTCATATTTATAACAATTTTTGCCTGAGATCTGACAATTTCATTCGGTCTGACATGGAAAATATTGAACAATACCACTTTCAGCCACTAGAGGGAGGTCGAGTAATATAGCAAACCAAGTTTCTCCTTAATAGGCAAAAGTGGCTATTAATGAGACACTTGGCTTGCCATACCAAGCCACCTTTGTCTTGCTCCAGAAATCCTGGCGCAAACACCAAATCAGCTGCATTTTGCTGCGCCGCCCCGCTGAAATGCAGCTGATTTGATCTTCAAAGTGCATTTATTAATGAAAAGTTCAACTGAGATACACCTTTACTATAATGTCAAGCAAACAAATAATTGTTTTTAAGTGTTAATCTTGTTAAATTCTTGGTAAAGTCCTCCCGTGCGCGCTCCCGCGGCCGCCATTTGGCAGCCAATTGATTTTTGGCACAACACCGGCCCACCTTTCTGAGTTGTCAGCGGTGACGCATAATAGATGCGACTTATGTGACGAAGCGACTTATTTATGTTTTTTTTCCACTTTATTATATATATTTGGACTGATGAGACTTATACGGCGGTGCGACGTGTACAGTGGCAAGTACAGCAGATACATTTTTTGTTTGAGTCTTCTTTAGCCTAACATAAAAGGTGTTTTGGAATTTTTGTTATTCAGTGTCTGGAGTAAAACAAAAATATAAATCACAGGCCATTATTCTGTTCCCGTATTGCTCTAGGTACAATATTGGTATTTGTTATTTTCTGTGTTGCCAAATGAAAAGGTTTGATACTGAAAATGTTACACACACACAAACACACATATGAGAGCTACATGATCAGTGTAATCAAAGCCCACAGATGAAGAATAAAAACAAACAACTCTCTTTGTTTTCAATGTACAAACGCAACATTACAGAGTGGAGAAGCACGCCAGTTGATGACCTTTTCAATACGTTTCCCATCTATATTAACCTTGTAGGAATAACGGAGCCGTGTGGGTGGGATGGACTGGCAGTGACTGTCCTTCAGGGACGAGTGTTGTGGGTGTGGTGTGTGTGTGTGTGTACAGAGGGGGAGGCGTACAGCTGCTATTAGCTTCAGCAGTGAATGGATTCCATCAGTGGACTGGCAGACTGAAGAAAGGAAACGGTGTGATTCATTTACTCCAGCTCTCACTCCCAGCTGAACAGTCAAAACACACAGAGAGAATAGTTAGGGACTGTCAACGCTCTGACTGCCCGATGTCAGGCCTGGTGGTGTGAGATTAAGGTGGGGGGAAGGTTTCTAACATTTAACAAATTGCCTATTTAAGGCACAAGATAAATTAAAGCTAATTTAAAACTAGTGTAATGGAAATACAACTAGGTATGAACCAGTTTCAGTTTTATAAGATATACTAAAAAAATGTCAAAACCACTACCTTTTGCTGTCATACAATTCATGTGGTTAAATTCCTTTTAATGAGATGTCAAAGACAGTGTTCAGTATTCTCCGGTTGTATGTAGCTCAGAGTAGCGCTCCCCCTCCGGCACCTGTTGCTGCGAGCTGTCAGTCAGCTGTGTACGACGGCGCAATTATACTTTTCCCCCCTCATTAAAAACATGGTTGACTATTTGCCTTTTTTCTGTTAGCAAATAACACTATCAGTCATGCCTTGTCTACGTGGAGTGCCACCCACCTCTTTTTTGAGGTAATGCTGTTTTTCAAGAAATGTTGCAACGAGATATTAGAGTTAGCATTGCTGTCTGTGAAATGAGCAGCTAAATGCAGGGTCACTACAGATACTAACAGTATGGCTAATTAGCTAGCCAACAACAGCTTGTCAAGCTCATACCGTTATTTTACAAAGAAGAGAACAGCAAAAATACAGGCGATATTTAATGAGCATGTTTAATTTTAGAATTTTAGCTACATTTAGCATTTTTGTTTATTCTTATTTTATTATTATTATTATTATTTGTTTATACTACATTTTGTTTATTCTGCATTTTTGTGAATTTTCTTCACTGCTCTATACATCTGAATGAAAGGAAAAACTATTTTAAACAAGGTTAATGGTTCTCTGGTGTTTTAGCTGAAATTGATTCTTAAATTTGTTCTCAACACTTAAAACT